ATTGAAAATGTTGAAAGTATTTACAGTCGGGATCATTTGTTTTACATCGGGTTAATCTCAAATATAGCGATCTCTTTCAATCAAATCTTCCCCATGGGGATCCGGGTTAGAATAGGTCCTCAGTACCCCCTTGCTTGTCGTAAAATGCGACTAATTGGGCAGTCCTTCGGATGAGACCGTATAAACCGAGGCCACTTGTCACAGCAGGTGTGGCACGATAAAGATCCATCCCAGCTCAAAGGCCTTAAGTGCCGAGCATAGGCCTAAATTTGCAGCCCTTCACCGGCAATGGTGACGTCTCCATATCAGTGAAATATTCTGGAGAGGGAAGTTAAACAGTATACAATCAATCAATCGGATTTTATCGGGTCTTTCCGTCAGAGGTCGGATGTATTGACATCAGCATAAGTTAAAAATATACATCTTCCCATTTATTCTGTGGTATATTTTAAGCAATATCTTTACATTCAATTAAGTTAAACCCCACAGTTAAGAAGTCTTGCAACATTTATTTCAAAGTTTGTGAAAATTAGGGGTGGTGGTTGTAATGACGTCTGCTTAATAATAGATTGCTATTTTTGCTAGTCGGAAAGGCCCGAGAAATTTGGGAGTACATGTAAATACAAAATATAGAACACGATAGCTGTTGTCATGTTGTATTAACTCTCAGTCACGTATTATGTGCAAGATTAGGAACATGACATCATTAAATAATGTGATTCTAAACTATTTCTTTTTATGTTTTTTTAACTCTTTTTACACAGATTTAAAAAATACATATTATTAATTATTGTTTTCATACTCATTTCTTTTTTTGCTAATGGAACTTATTCTAAGAATTTTAATTAATTCATTTATCTTGGGAAAAATTCTCAGTGGAAAAGGCATATTGTAAAGTATATGTCCATGTGCATTGCTTTTGTTAATTAAAATAGAAAAAAAGTATTTTGCATATATTTTTGTTCGCCTGAGCACTGCACCGTGACATGCCACCACTGATAGGATCGATCCCAATGTTCATTCTTCTGTAGCACTTCAAACATACATATTCTAAAACTTAATGCAGAGTATTGATTCACTGGAATAATTTTCATTTAGCGATCTTGCTTTGAGAGTACTTGTTCATATTTAAATTCAACCTCAATTCGAAGCAGTAAATTATAATAATTATACTTTACAAAACTATACATTCAAAGCATCATCGAAGTATTTAAACTGTAAAATTTATTTTGAAAGCATTAGATATGCCAAAGAACGGTTAAAACAACAAGAAATTTCACTAGAATTCACATGTATTTGTTCTAAAGTATCCAGTTTCGTCAGAAGGGGGAGGGGAACTGATAAATTATCTTACCAATAAAGATCTGTTAGAAATGAAAAATATAGGGAAAAATAATTTTAAAAAAACACACAGATAATCATACAAAAACAATGCATGACAAGATCCTGGATTTAAGGGTTGGGGTAATTTTTTTATCATTTCACAGTGGCGTAGCATCGTTTTTGAAAGTGGGGGGGGGGGGGGCCAGCCGGGGAAAAATTCCTTTTACTTACCTGAAAAAGTTGACAAGCAAAAAAGGGAGAATAAAGGCTACCTTTTTTTGAGTGTCACTACTTTCAGTACCAATTCTAATACTTCACTTTCGGTACATCCTTAAACTGGGGGGGGGGCAGGTTTTCAATTAACATTTGCTATAGAATAAGTAAGGTTGGGGAAAAAAGTGGGGGGACCAGGACCCCCACCCTGTTGCTACGCCCCTGTTTTATCATTTTTATCCGGCCCAGCTGGAATAATGTCGAACTTTCATATTTCTTGTTTCTTTTTAATTCTGATTCAATTGAAAATAAAGTATAATAATCATACCGAAAAGTCTGTCTAAACAATGAACATTGTGAAAAAAGCATACATGTACCTCTGCAAATAGCAATGAAGGGAACAAGAGCACAGGAAAAACATTTTTGAAAAGATGAAAAACATTTGAAAATAACATGGATTGCCCAATGCACTCGTTGCCTTTTTGCATTCAATAACAAACAAGGAAAAAAAATTAAAGAAACTATTTTATTTGGCTGAATGGGCCTTGGCCGCTGAAATGAGGGAGCCGAGGCATCAATACATTGCCTTGTGATTGCATCCCTAAAAAATGCAAAGGGAACCCTTGGAAGAGATGTTTACCTTTCGTGACTAGTCAAAAATGCACGTAAAATATTCAGTTAAATGACAATTTAGTTAAGAAGTTTTACTTGTGAGCCTAATAGCCACAGGTCCATTGACGGTTGGTAAAAAATGGGCAGGTACGTACAGAAGATGGAGACTTTTATTCCAAACAAATTACTGTGGAATCACAAATTTTCGTGGGGGTTTAATTTTCGTTGTTTTCGTGGTATGACAAGACCCACGAATTCATGTCCACAACGAAATGTAAAATTTCACACACATAAGTACTCATTAATTTTTGATCCACGAAATCAAATCCCCACGAACCAAGAAATTTTCCTCAAACCACGAAAATTTGACCCCACGAAAATATGTGATTTTACAGTACTACATTTATACTGAATTTCAAACTTCATTGTTCTGAGTACATAAATAAAATTTGTGACTGGATGTTAAAACAGTTTAAAGTCGAATCATTTTTTTTCTCAATCAGATAAGATAGGGCAACCCTGGATGTTTGGTGTGTGAACAATTTTATGAAAGATAGCCTTATATCATAATTTTTTTGTCTTGTGTTTAAAATATTTTCTTCCTGACCAGGTTGGATTTACACTGTAACACTGAATGTATGGTGTGTGTATAATCAGTTAAGAATAGAAGATATTGTGTAAGATATCAGGATGTACACTGAATGTTTGATGTGTGTATAATCAGCTAAGAATAGAAGATATTGTGTAAGATATCAGGATGTACACTGAATGTTTGATGTGTGTATAATCAGCTAAGAATAGAAGATATTGTGTAAGATATCAGGATGTACACTGAATGTATGGTGTGTGTATAATCAGCTAAGAATAGAAGATATTGTGTAAGATATCAGGATGTACACTGAATCTTTGATGTGTGTATAATCAGCTAAGAATAGAAGATATTGTGTAAGATATCAGGATGTACACTGAATGTTTGATGTGTGTATAATCAGCTAAGAATAGAAGATATTGTGTAAGATATCAGGATGTACACTGAATCTTTGATGTGTGTATAATCAGCTAAGAATAGAAGATATTGAGTAAGATATCAGGATTTACACTGAATGTTTGGTGTGTGTATAATCAGCTAAGAATAGAAGATATTGTGTAAGATATCAGGATGTACACTGAATGTTTGGTGTGTGTATAATCAGCTAAGAATAGAAGATATTGAGTAAGATATCAGGATTTACACTGAATGTATGGTGTGTGTATAACCAGCTAAGAATAGAAGATATTAAGTAAGATATCAGGATTTACACTGAATGTTTGGTGTGTGTATAATCAGTTAAGAATAGAAGATATTGAGTAAGATATTAGGATTTACACTGGATGTTTGGTGTGTGTATAATCAGTTAAGAATGGAAGATACTGTGTATGATATCGAGAAAAAACGTTTAGGGAATCCCAAGGTCAGGTATTGTGTCAGTGGGTGAACAAAACAAATGCATAAAAATAGACAGCTTGAGAACGCCAGAATCTCGGGGAAAACATATATTAATGTCAATATTACATAGGATAAAGATAGAATAAAACAGATGCTGTGCATTAATGTAAGAATTTGTTACTGCTGATAAGAACCCTCATATCTTTTGTTTGTGTCTTAAGAGTACATGTAGGATTTAGATTGCATGTTTGGTGTGTGTATAATCAGCTGAGAATAGATATACTGAGTAAGATAACAAGGAAAACATTTATAAAATCTTGAGGACAGGAATTGTGTTAGTGGGGGAACAAAACAAATGCATAAAAATAGAGATCGAGAACTCCAGAATCCCCGTGAATACAAAAATCAATGCTAATACTGCATAAAATAAAAAATAAACGAAAAACAGATACTTGGCATTAATGTAAAAATTTGTTACTGCTGTTAAGAACCTTCATAATTTTTTGCTTGTGTCTTAAGAGATTTATATACGATACTGAGAGTTTGATGCGAGTGACCAGAGATTCTGCGCCTGTATCAAATATACAAAGAATACAAAAAAATAAGAAGAAGAAATTTATCATAAATTTTACATCACAAATTAAAAAAGTGTTTTGATTCATATAAACTTAAACAAAACATTTATTATTAAACAATTATTCAGGATATATATATATTTACAATATATATAAGGACAGGGAAAAGGAATACAACTAGCAGTAACCTACAAATAATTTCTAAGAGAGTAAAAAGAAAGCATAACAAAGCATTCTAATTAAATTAATATATTTTAGGTAATTCTTATGGTTATGGAAAGGACTTCAATTTCAGCTAATATATACGTAATACAAAAATTACAAATCTCAAAAATCAGATCTATATTTCAAATGTATTGTCAAAATTATCATTCCGTATAACCATTTATTTTAACCCCCCTTAAAAAATCACACACCATGTGTAGGAGAGTAGAACGTCTTTGTGTTACTGTTTTCCAGGAATTAATTACATATTCGTGTGGGAAGGAAATGCTTAGCATGAGGTCGTAAGAATATTTCTGCTTTTATTATCTACAGAGAAGGACAGTGAGTTCCGATTGCCAAAGTATTTTTAGCTCTGTTATCTTTTATCATTTCGTCTCAAACAACACAATGATATAACCAAGAATTCTCTTGTGACATAAGTATGTCATCTGTCAGATTTTTGTAATACCTCTTCAAGTACTGTCAGATGTTCTGGGGATTTTTTTTACATTCAGCACATTCTGACAACTCGAGAAACATCTCTTTACACAACACGACGTCATCTGAATGGGGAAATCCCCAGCTGTCTCTATATATACCGAATGAAATCTGTTCTCGTAAAAAATATTGCTTTTTCTGTTATCCAGGCACAGCATTGATCTTTTCTGGTAACCTCATTTCGAAACAAGAAAAATGATGTTTTCAATTGTTGTACTGCTTTTTATGTCAATATTCAAAGTCAGGGCTGATTCCTTGTTACCCAGTACTAACGATAAGAACTCTACAGCTATAATCAACGAGAGACGCGACATCCAGGAAATAGACGTTCTGCGACAGCTCATCAACCAGGAGACTCTCATCAGGGTATCTGTTGTCAATGCCGTCAGGGCAGCTGTGGATGACGTTACCTCTTTGAAGAGAAACATGGCGTCAACAGAAACCACGGTCTCCTCCCTGGAGCGGGCACTAAATGGATTGAAAGTTCAGGTAGATTCTCTAACACAGGATAAGAATTCAGCGGAGAAAACTGAAACATTACAAAGACACGTCGATAATCTTACTAGTCAGAACCAGATTTTAAAGCAGAGGATAGAACAGTTGGAATCACACGTTGAAATAAACAAGACAAAATCTTTACAGCAGACCGTAGAAACATTACAAACACAGGTTGATTCTTTGAGCAGGGAAAATAGGAGAAAAAACAAAAAGATTGCAATAAATTGTAAGAACAAAATTGAAGAAGCCGAGCAGAAGTTCAATAGAAACATCGCAGAAATTTACGAGCTTCTAAACGACAGAACATTGGAAACCGTTAAGAAAGGTATTCCATCTCTCTCTCTCTCTCTCTCTCTCTCTCTCTCTCTCTCTCTCTCTCTCAGTGTATATTTTTATATAATTATTATATGTCACTCTTTGTTTAGATTCCAAAATAAACACAGACTGTATGGATCACTTTCTACACGGACATACACAGTCTGGTGTATACAGTATAAACCATTTCTGTAACGAGACCCACTCTCTCTCTTAGTGTGTATTTTTTTAATTATCTGTCGTTCTTTTTTCAGATTCAAAAATAAACAGGGATTGTCAGGATCATTTTCTACAAGGTCATAAACAATCTGGTGTATACAATATAAACCCCTTCGGTAACGAGACCCAGGTAGATGTATACTGTGATATGGATAAAGAAGGTGGCGGGTGGACAGTAAGATTTCTCTCTATCTTTCTTTTATGTTTTTGAAATTATTAAAAAAATTAATTTAAAAAAAGATTTGAAAAACGTAAGTCTTCAAGACATTTTCCTGTTGATAACTTAGGCAATCCAGAAGCGGGTGAGCGGATCCGTAAGTTTTAACAGAACGTGGGCGGAGTACAAGGATGGATTTGGTAACCCTAGTGACTCCTACTGGATTGGTAAATATCTATTTACATTTGTTTATATCAATATATCAAGCAATGTATAATGTTTTGCTTTTGTCTATGTTTTACGTAAAAGGATTTGTTTTTACAAATACTAGTTTTTTTCTTGTTTAATACTTTGTAAATATTTATTAATTGAATAACGATTTCATTTATATTTTCGAAACCTTATACACCCGTACAATTAACTATTGAAGGAAATGACGTCATTCACCAGCTTACTAAAGGAAGAAACTCCTCCCTCTACGTCTCCATTACATTATACAATGGTACAGCTTTATATGAACTTTATCAACAGTTCTCTGTCTCTGATGAAAGGGACAACTACCGACTTTTTGTTGGAGGAGCAGCTACCGGAACGTTAGGTAAGTGATAAGTAAAGTGTGTAACAATCCTTGGATCCGCCACTGATCAAAACAAAGAAAGTGAAAAAGAGAGTGAGAGTATGAGAGAAAGAAAGGAAAAATAAGGAGAGGGAGGAAAATAAAATAGAGATCTACTTAATCTATAAAAAGGATATGTCAATTTTAATCTTTCTTGTCTTCTACTAGCAAAATGCATGCATCCTCTATCTCTTATTAATGAATAGACCCCACGTTTTTAACGATGATTTTTTTTTCTAAATAAGATAAAAATAATTTTCAGGTACTGTGAGATCGCTAATTTTCGCGGGGAATCAATTTTCCTTGTTTTCAAGGTATGCAGAGACCCACAAAATGTAAAATTCAAAAAGTCCCACAAACTATTTTTTCATGAACCTCGAAAAATTTGGAACCTTCGAAAATACGTGATTGTACAGTATATTTTTCTTAAATACTGCCTATTCCTTCACCCTGTAGCTACAAAAGATGTGTTTGTGAAACACCATGCGCCCGGCGGCAACAAAGTAAAAAAAAATATTTGTTAAACACATAGGTCACAGTCAAGGTCACGAGGTCATTGATCTTGGTGTCAATTGAAGGAACTTAATTAGTGACGTACGTATACCAAATATGGATTCTCTATCTCTCATGATTCAAAAGTTATCTCGAAGGTTCAAACATAGGTAATCAGAGATTACAGAGCTCACCTCAACGAATGTTGTCTTTAAGTAAGGCAAAGTCACACAATTAACCAACAAAAAGTGTACATTCCAAAAATGAAAATATTTAAGCAATTTTGATCTGATACTTTGAAATAGACCTACATAAACAATTTAAACTAGTTCTTCTTCATGAAAATGTAATCAAAATCCAGCATCTGAAGCAAATTTGAGAATTTTCATCTCTTGATGAAAACTTTAACCTGTATCATCCATGCAAGTTTGGTCAACATAGGGCTTATAGTTACTTGGAAATGAAACCTGCACCAAAAACTTGAACCTGTTCACTCAACCACAAAATGTAGGTCAGATTCAGCATCCGAAGCAAGCCTGGTAGTATGCATCCTTAGATGTATCATCCATGCAAGTTTGGTCAACATAGGTCTCATAGTTACTTGGAAATGAAACCTACACCAAAAACTTTAACCTGTTCACTCAACCGGAAAATGTAGGTCAGATTCAGCAAAAGCAAGCCCGGTAGTATGCATCCTTAGATGTATCATCCATGCAAGTTTGGTCAACATAGGGCTTATAGTTACTTGGAAATGAGACCTGCACCAAAAACTTTAACCTGTTCACTCAACCGGAAAATGTAGGTCAGATTCAGCATCCGAAGCAAGCCCGGTTGTATGCATCCTTAGATGTATCATCCATGCAAGTTTGGTCAACGTAGGTCTCATAGTTACTTGGAAATGAAACCTGCACCAAAAACTTTAACCTGTTCACTCAACCGAAAAATGTAGGTCAGATTCAGCATCCGAAGCAAGCCCGGTAGTATGCATCCTTAGATGTATCATCCATGCAAGTTTGGTCAACATAGGGATTATAGTTACTTGGAAATGAAACCTACACCAAAAACTGCACCAAAAATGTTAACCTGCTCCAAAAACATTAACCTGGTCATTCTTTTGCTGAAATTGCAGCATCTGAAACTTTGACTGGTACAATGAAACACAGTAGAACCATCTTCCATGCATGTCTAATCAATATAGGACACAGAAGTACTTAAAAAGAAAACTGCTCCAAAAAACTTAACCTTAACCTTGCGAGGGTAAATATTTGAGGTGAGCTAAAAACGCTATTTTTTGCAAATATTTCACAGTCAAGGTCATTGACGCTGGTATCATCTGGAAGGGCTCATTAAGTGGAGAATACATACCAAATATTAAGTCTTTATCTTTCTTCGTTATGGTGAAGGTTCAAGTTTGCCGACAAAAAAAGCCATATTTAGCGTATAGGTCACAGTCAAGGTCACAAGGTCATTGACTATGGTGTCATTTAAAAAGCTTATTCAGTGGTGTATACATACCAAGTATGAAGTCTCT